GTGCTGTAGAGACGGATTGGCAGGGAGGACGAGAAGCTCAGTCTTTGCCAGGTTGAGCTGCAGGTGATGTTCCTTCATCCATGCCGAGATGTCCGCCCATAAACACAAATTTATGTCTAAATACCCGTCTCGGCAAGTGTTCTCTCGGTTATATCATAAGTGAACAGCTGAGAACGAAAGAAACCGAATGTTTGTCAGTTGTTTCGGTCGGAGCAGTCGGTCTTAAAGTGACAGTGGCCTAAAATTCCCACTGTTGTCTGTGACATTAATGTTAATAAAACAGCAAAATACAGCTTTAACAAAGAAGAAACTATTTAATTTCTACAGTGAACAAAGTGTTATTTTACATTTATGCTTAATTATTAATTTCTGTACCTGAATACTACTGTTAGACTGTAACTTTGTTAGTATTCATCTCTGCCTGTAATTGTGTATTTGTTGTTCTTTAATTACTGACTGTTCACTTGTTTTTAATAATGTGTGAACGTTATCAGTCAGGCTAGTAATTTTTGATGTGGTATCGAAGAACTTCAAGTGAGCTTTAAAGTAATAAATGAAAAGCAACCCCATATATATATACCGTATTTTCCGGACTATAAGTCGCACTTTTTTTCATACCTTGGCTGGTCCTGCGACTTATAGTCAGGTGCGACTTATATATCAAAATTACCAAGATTTACTCGTCACAGGATCGCTGACGGCCCCAGATTATTATTTGCGAGTTTTTGATGTATTTGTGGTATGACGTGAATGCATCATTTGCCGAAATTGGGGGTGACATTACCGTCTACAGCCACGAGAGAGCGCTCTATGCGCTCTAGACTACAGCTAGTTTTACCGCTGAAAAAATTAACTGAAAACAACTGATATTAACTGAAATATTAGACTGAACGCAAACAAAATGCCCCCAAAAAGAAAATCATATTCTGCAGATTACAAACTGCAGGTAATAAAATATGCAGCCGAAAACGGTAATCGAGCAGCAGAAAGAAAGTTTGGAGTGAATGAGAAACTTGTGAGGGACTGGCGAAAAGCAGAGGTTACTCTAACTGAAATGAAGAAAACAAAGAAAGCTAATCGCGGGCTGAAAGCAAGATGGCCAGAGCAGGAGGAACGAGTCCGCAGATGGGTGCTTGAACAACGCGCTGCCGGGAGAGGCTTGTCAACGGTGCAGTTGCGTCTCCACGCCCTGGTAGTTGCTAAGGAGATGAATATACTGTTGATGTGTTACGTTAACAACATACCGGACACATATTCAGCCTGTTGTTCTTTGTGCTATTGTGTGTAGCTGAATAACTTAAATGCCTTCTGTTTTAATGAATTAAAGTCTGTTTAAATAACTTTTTCTTGGTCTTGGATTTTGTTAAATAAATTTCTAAATAAATGCGACTTATAGTCCAGTGCGACTTATATATGTTTTTTTCCTCGTCATGACGCATTTTTGGGCTGATGCGACTTATACTCCGGAGCGACTTATAGTCCGAAAAATACGGTATATATATATATATATACACTCACCGGCCACTTTATTAGGTACCCCATGCTAGTAACGGGTTGGACCCCCTTTTGCCTTCAGAACTGCCTCAATTCTTCGTGGCATAGATTCAACAAGGTGCTGGAAGCATTCCTCAGGGAGTTTGGTCCATATTGACATGATGGCATCACACAGTTGCCGCAGATTTGTCGGCTGCACATCCATGATGCGAATCTCCCGTTCCACCACATCCCAAAGATGCTCTATTGGGTTGAGATCTGGTGACTGTGGAGGCCATTTTAGTACAGTGAACTCATTGTCATGTTCAAGAAACCAATTTGAAATGATTAGAGCTTTGTGACATGGTGGAAGTAGCCATCAGAGGATGGGTACATGGTGGCCATAAAGGGATGGACATGGTCAGAAACAATGCTCAGGTAGGCCGTGGCATTTAAACGATGCCCAATTGGCACTAAGGGGCCTAAAGTGTGCCAGGAAAACATCCCCCACAACATTACACCACCACCACCAGCCTGCACAGTGGTAACAAGGCATGATGGTTCCATGTTCTCATTCTGTTTACGCCAAATTCTGACTCTAACATCTGAATGTCTCAACAGAAATCGAGACTCATCAGACCAGGCAACATTTTTCCAGTCTTCAACTGTTCAATTTTGGTGAGCTCTTGCAAATTGTAGCCTCTTTTTCCTATTTGTAGTGGAGATGAGTGGTACCCGGTGGAGTCTTCTGCTGTTGTAGCCCATCCGCCTCAAGGTTGTGCGTGTTGTGGCTTCACAAATGCTTTGCTGCATACCTCGGTTGTAACGAGTGGTTATTTCAGTCACTGTTGCCCTTCTATCAGCTCGAACCAGTCTGGCCATTCTCCTCTGACCTCTGGCATCAACAAGGCATTTCCGCCCACAGAACTGCCGCTCACTGGATGTTTTTTCTTTTTCGGACCATTCTCTGTAAACCCTAGAGATGGTTGTGCGTGAAAATCCCAGTAGATTAGCAGTTTCTGAAATACTCAGACCAGCCCTTCTGGCACCAACAATCATGCCACGTTCAAAGTCACTCAAATCACCTTTCTTCCCCATACTGATGCTCGGTTTGAACTGCAGGAGATTGTCTTGACCATGTCTACATGCCTAAATGCACTGAGTTGCCGCCATGTGATTGGCTGCTTAGAAATTAAGTGTTAACGAGCAGTTGGATAGGTGTACCTAATAAAGTGGCCGGTGAGTGTATATATATATATATATATATATATTTAGGGCCCAAGCCCAAAGGGCGAAGGCCCTATTGTTTTCCTTAGGATTATTTATTATTATTATTATTCTTATTATTTTTCTGCTACCTTTTGGACACTTTTGGAGGCCTTAACATGCTCAAAAACTCCTGAAACTTTGCACACTGGTCAGAACCCGCGGCCATCAGGGCCGGGCTGAAGATGGTACCCGGGCGTGGCAGGGGGGCTCGACAGCGCCCCCTGGAACGGGGTCCGAAAACATGGTCCATAAATCAAACACGCTTGCATGTAATAATATGAAACTCGGTACACATGTAGATCTCCTCGTTTCAAATATACTTCACACTCTTACTTTTTACCCCAGCCCAACAGGAAGTCGGCTATTTAGGGTTGTTGGTAAAACACACGCAATGGAATGTGAAATACTCCTCCTAGAGAATTCAAACAAACGGCACGAAACTCGGTCAGCATGAAGTCAAGACATTGAGGATGAAAGTTTGCGAGGGGATTTTTGATATCTCGAACGGTTTGGCCGTGGCGAGGAAACAAAATTATGGCGAGAAACGTGAAACAGGAAGTGTGTCATAACTACTGCATACATTAACTGATCTTGATGAAACTTCACCAGTGTGTTCGTTGTAAGAGCCCGATCACATGGATGTGACTATTGTGAGTCAAAGTTATAGCGCCACCAACTGGCAGAAGGAAGTGTGTCACTTCCTAAATGCTTTGAAATCACCCTCTTATTTTTACCCGATTTGCTTCAAACTTCACTACTATAATGTAAACACACGGCAGATGTAGACCTGTGAATGGATTCTTGATATCTTAGATACTGTTGTCGTGGCAACGCATCAAACTTTAATATTCTTTTTTTATGCTTTTGAGACTCTTAGCATGCCTGAAATTGCTTAAAATTGCATGAAACTCGACAGACACATCTCATTTATTAGCCAGTAGACATGTGCAAAGTTTCAGAAACGGGCGTGTTGAGGGCTCAGTAGCGCCACCTTTTGTCAAAAGTGGGGGGATTAATTTTATCTACAGTAATAAAAATCGGTATGTGTATTGTTCTCCTCCAGCCAGACAAGTTTCTAATTTACACTCAATAGCTCCAACCAACAGGAAGTCAGATATTTTGGTTTGAAAATTGTCATTTTATGTCTCTCTCTCTCTCTGAGCCTACGTCTCTGTGTGTGTGTGTGTCTGTGAGTGTGGGGAGGGGGAGGGGGGCTAGATTAACCATTTGACTGCTGTGTTGTTTGGCCTGCATTAAAAAAGAAAATAAATGTCTTACGCCTTGTATTTTTTAAATAAGTTGTATTAATAAGTAAAGGCATATAACCAGTTGAATTGTAGTGCATTGAAAATAGTTTTATATAATTAGTTTATTAATTAAATTAACTTGGTCCATAAACTTCGTCAGAAAATTTGGTCCATAAATCAAACACACTTGCATGTAATATTATGAAACTCGGTATATAGATCTCATCGGGCCAAACAACTTTAAGCCAGCCCAACAGGAAGTGGGCTATTTTTGTCTTAATGTGGATGTTTTGCAAAACCAGGCTCTACATTTTTACCCACTCCTCTTAAGTGGTTTATTTTATTCCCACCAAACTTTTTCAACATGATGAAAATACATTAAAGAAGCATAATTGTGAATATCTATTGAATATCTCTAATTGTTTTGCTATGGCGAGGGATTAAAATCATGTAAAAAAAAAATAAACACTAAAAGCCTCATATCTTCTAAAAATTTAATTATACACCATTTATTTCTAGATAAAATTATACAAATATCACAACTAAACCCATTTTATTCTTGTTTTCAATTTAAGAGTAATGTACAAGTTTAAAAACAGCCAGGATGCACTATTCAGTTAAAAAAATAAATATATCAAATAATACATAGGGCTATACTGCCCTCTTGTGTTCAAAATCAGGTAGGCCTATTGTATTTAAATATATTAGGTAGCCTATGTGACTCCGAGAATATTTTCTCACCGGTTATTTGACGTGTAAAACGTGTTAAATCGCTAAGTTAAAAGTGAAAGTAAAGTAAGGACGTCCGCACGGACATTTATAGTGGTGGCGCTCACAGTGCGCTCGAATGAATTTCTATGGAAGTAGAAATGAAAAAACATTCGCTCTGTTTTGCTCGCTCGTCGCCATGGACGCGCACCGTTATGAATTCCAGTGCAGCCGCATACTTTTTAGTGTCACTAAAATTAGCGCCATATCGGGGACCGATTGCTTCCGGTTTTCAGGGAAAAGACAACAACAAAAGAGTAAATGACAGATTCGCTTATATAGGCGCTTTTACACAAAATATTCCGTCATAATTTTTCCAGTCAGCTCTTCACTCTCGTGATTAATGAATTTTGACTCCTGTTGCTGATCTTTGCTGCAACTTTCGTTCTGCTCACAATTTAGTAAGCAAATACGTTCAAGTTTTAATTGTAGTGACTAAATGATTTTATTATACACACACCAAATTGACGGTGGGGGGCCATGGTATATTTAAATCTGCCAATTGTAATATCTGCTGGGCACCCCTAGTCTAGTCTTATTAAATGTATGCTTCATCTTTCATTTTTAATTTGTAAATTTGATCAATAAATTCAATTATTTAGAATAATAAGACACTATATGGCTGTTACTCTAGGTAGGGGTGATCAAATTAAATCGTTTACACTGAAAAATAACAATGCATTAAATAATGTGAGATTGTTTTAAATATGAGTTGGAAAGAATGATACTTTTAAACATAACACTAAACCGTCATTAGGTGTCGCCAGGCGACCGTCTTAATGAGTGAGTCATTGATTCATTCGTTCAAATGATTCGTTCGAACGACTGAGTCATTCATGAATGAGACAATACATGTTTATGGATTGGTCATTGAATCTTTGAGTCAATCGATTCGTTCAAAATGCTGAATCATTGTGTCTCTTACAGCGACAAGAGTTTAACCCTTGTTCAAGTTTAAGGCCTTGTCTTTTTGGATATATATCTTTTTTTTAAATTCCAAAATATGCATACAACCCATATATTTTAAATGTATCGTTTGCTTTAAATTAAATTAAGATTGTATGTTTGGTAATTTAACCTGAGATGAATGTGCTATATTTCAGATCAATATATTTGTTTTCCTTAAAATTTGAACTAACACTAACTTTATTCTCATCTGAATTATAAATAACTTATTCCTGTATAAAATAAAAACACATTAGAATTTTCTTTTTTAATCAATGTAGAATGTGTAATTGAAAAATAAACAGATTAGGGCTCTGAGGACAATAAATGAAAATCAATGCGATATGGTGAATGTCCAAAAGATGGCTCCCACAGACTGTTTTAAATGGGGTTGGATAAATATTTTTTGCTTTTAGACAGTGTGTGCGTGTGATTTTAGTTGGGTGACAGTTGTAGGTTACAGTTTGACAAGAGTTTATAGTTTGACAAAAGCACTTTGTTGTGTTTTATTGCGAGTGTACACAAATATAAGTAAACACTTTGCAGTTTGAATGATGTCCTCTATGAACAAAATGACGGAGTATGTTTTTATGTGTAACAGTTCAATCGCACCCGCACCCGCACCCGCACCTCACCCACACACACACACAGACACACAGACACACACACACACACACACACACACACACACACACACACACACACACACACACACACATATTGAAACCTGAGTGAAGTACAAAGCCCATAATGAAGAATAGTTTAGCATCCAAATACATCGCAAATGTTGAAACAGTTTGATTCTAATGAGAGAGTTACGTGAGCCAAACACCACCTACTTTCACTTTCGCTTTCAATTATTTCGGTTATTTCTTAATTATAGTTTTTTTTTATTCTTGTTCTGTTCTGAATATCATTAAATTTAAAGAATTGCTTGTGTAATATTTTGAGTGTATCATCAAAACAGATTAATTCTCTCGGTTTAGTGATTCCCTAGTTATTTTTTTATTGTTTTCATTGTTCTAATCCGGTAAGGCAAGTGATATATATATATATATATATATATATTTTTTTTTATATATATATATATATAATTTATATATATATATATATATATATATATATATATATATATATATATATATATAAATATAGCTGCGAGCAGCGATGAAGGGCCAAAGCCGGCGGCACCGCCACCCCGGTGCCTTTAGGTAACTAAAGGAACCGGGGTTGCGGTGCCACCGGCTTGGGCCCGTAATCGCTGCTCGCAGCTATATTTTTTTTTTTTTTTTTGCTGATCCGAAAAATGATCCTATCCGTGGCTCAAAAACCGAACCGTGAGTTTTGTGATGTACGCCGGATGTTATCTGAAGCCGTACCTTGGCAGATTCAGTGAACTTCTCTTGCTCTGGTCGGCTGTGAAGCTCGTAGAGAATCACTCCATCCGGGCCTTTGGGTGGCGCTGTCTTCCCCTCTCCTCCTGAACCGGTCCTGACGCCCCGCGCCACTTCCAGCTGAGTCAACAACCGCCTGCGCGAGAGGAACAGAGAAGAAGAGATGCTTCACACACACATAAGAGCAGGAAACTCCGATATGATACATCATCATGTTCTGTGTTGTATTTGTTGCTCAGGATGTGTTAGAACCATAGACTGTAAAAACAAACATGGACGTAGTGTCCGTGACGTTGATGATGTTCATTTTTGAAGCCCAAAGTGGGCGGGGTCGTCCGTCGCCATATTGGCCGCGCGTCACTCCCGGATAAACGAACATGTGCAGCGAGGCGGATTAGCTGAGGTGACGTGACGCTAACACACAGCAGACAAACGGCTAGCAGTGACATCAGCGGCAATCCACCTGTCACTCAAGTGGCCACGCCCTTAATTCTGCAGAACGTTAAGGCTTAATATAACTTAAACGGACAAGTTATAAAAAAATTCACCCCCCTCACAGCCGTCATGAAGAGCAAAATTAGCTATATAGACCAAAACCACTTTTTGCACCAGGCTGTAAACATGTTTTTTTCTGCTGTAAAGTTGGGCATTTTAACATGCGGGTCTATGGGAGTGAGTCTCTTTTGCAGCCGGCCTCTAGTGGCCAGTGGAGGAACTGCAGTTTAACTCACTTCAGTGTTGATTCGAGAGAGAAACGGGAACGTTGCCGTCTGGTTAGAACAGGCTTATCCATCTTTTCGATGCCACGGACCCCCAGATATGATCATCTTTATGCGAGGGGCCACCAGGGCCGGCCTGTGGCATAGGCCGAATACGTATAGGCGCCAAAATGAGAGATTTTTTTTTTTTACTAATTGTATTTTAATACTATTAATTCAAAATATTACCAAATAAAGCAAAAACCCAGACTCATCAACAATTATTATTATAAATGATTTTCATTTCTATTAAGTTTCACTATTATTATTATGTATTTTTCTAATTATTTATTTATTTTCATGTAATTTATTTATTTAAACAAATTTGTTTAATCTTATTTTATGATTCCCCCACACACACACACACACAGATTTTATTACACTGTTTTTCTCTTTTCCAGGAGCCCAGTTTGAAAACCCGTCATCTTTTTTTGATGAACTTATTCAAATCAGTCTTATTTTTCCAACTCAAATTAGATTGTAAAAAGTTAGAACCAGTCTTGAAAAAAAAAAATGAGATGATTAATTTTTAAAAGGGGTAGTTGATTATGATTTCACTTTTCTAGCTGTAGTTAGTGTGTAATGTTGCTGTTTGAGCATAAACAACATCTGCAAAGTTACACCGCTCAAAGTTCAAAGCAAAGGGAGATATTTACTTTTACAGAAATGGCTTTTTAAGGACTACAACAAACGGCTGGTAGAACTACACGAGCTTCCTCCCGGGTTAGTGACATCACAGACCCAAAAATGTACATAAACCCCGCCCCCGGGAACGCGATTTATAGATTATCATGACAGAAAATGCTAATCAATGACTTGAAGATAGTTAACTAAACATCAGCTACATAAATTCATCAACTAACCATTCAGAGAAGTCTTGTTGCTTCTACATGTCGTCACTTCTTGAGTCTCTCCATCATTGTCTGACTTTGGTTTGAACATAAAAGGCTGAACAGTTTCTGACATTTTAGTGTGTGTCTGTAAGCTGCTAAGAACGAGCTGTTGAAGCTCCGCCCCCTGTGCCGGGAGCAGCAGCTCATTTGCATTTAAAGTGACACACAAAACAACGCGTTTTTGCTCACCCTAAAAAAGAGGGAATTTTAACATGCTATAAAAAATGATCTGTGGGGTATTTTTAGCTCAAACTAAAGTCTAAAGGCCACAGAAGTCTCGACTCACTTGGCAAGAGCTCCGTCAGGGTCGGTGAGGTTGATGTGGGCGTTGGGTCCGAGCAGAGAGTCCAGATGAGCAGAAACCAGCTGCTGTTTGAGCTGCGCCGCTTGCTGAGCCAAAGCCACCGGAGTCAAGCGCTCCTCAGCACTGCTCTCTTTAGTGGTGACCTGCGGGGACACACACACACACACACACACGTGTCACACAAGCTGTCTGTCAGCAGCACTGCTATCTTCAGGGGCGGAAACAAAGCGAATAACAAAAATCATGTAATTAAATTATCTTTTCTATGGAATATTTCAGATGGTGATTCATCTTTTTTTGATGAACTATAAGCAGGGGTCAGTTGCATAAACTTAGCCACTATGTTAAGACTGGTTTGACCAACTAGCAGTTAAAATCAGTCTTATTTTTCCAATTCAAATTAGATTGTAAAAAGTTATAACCAGTCTTGGGAAGAATATAAAAAATGAGATTTTTAACGTCACAGTAAAACATGTTAGTAAAACATAGTCACCATAAAAATCAAAATTGACACTTTATATCTTTTCTATGGAATAATGCAGATGGTGATATGAGAACTCATGTTTCATGTTTCAATAAAAACTAAAACTTGAAATGAAAATGAATTAAACCTAAATAGCAATATAAAAAATATATATATATATATATAAAATTAAAATCCAATTCAAAACTAGAATAAAACTAAAATAACTGATATAGTTTCCGATATAAAGAACCAACTTGAATAATTGTGAATACCTGTAATTATTATTATAAATGATTATTATTTATTAATTTTTTCATTTCTATTAAATTCCACTATTATAGTCGTTTTCTACTTATTTATAGTCATGTCATTTTTTTTTTAATTTAATCAAATTTCATGTGAATATTGCAGATGGTGAGACTAGAGTGTATGAGGGCGAGAGCCGATGTTCAGTCCTGACCTGAATACGCTCCACATCTTGGCAGAGCTCGTGGATCTCGTTCACCAGCCGCTGGTACTTCTGCTGGGGAGTCTCCTTCACGCCACAGCCCTCCGCTAACTGCAGGGCAAGAGAGAGGGAATCAGAGCAAACGCAGAGGGACTCCATTAACGGGTCAGGAAGAGGTTCGAGTCACTCACCAGCTCGTACTCTCCGGACTCGTAGCCCACCCTGCTGTTCTTACTGATGCGGTCCGAGAAATCTGCACCAATCACACCAGGGTTACTCCAGTACCAGTCTAATAGTTATTAATAGTGTGAATTATAACTTACTTAATCTTTCTTTCTACCTAATCTTTCTTTCTTTTTTCTTTCTTTTTTCTATCAATATTTCTTTTTCATTCTCGTTCTTTCTTTCTTTTTCTACCTAATTTTTCTTTCCTTCTTTCTTTTTGCTATCTCTTACTTTCTTTTTTTCTTTCTAACATTTCTTTCTTCATAATATTTCTTTCTTTTTTCTATCTATCTATCTTTCTTTTTCATTTTCTTTCTTTCTACCTAATTTTTCTTTCTTTCTTCTAGCTATCTTTCTTTCTTTCTTTTTTTCTTTCTAACAGTTCTTTCTAACCTATCTATCTTTCTTTCTAACTATTCTCTTTCTTTCTAACTATTCTCTCTTTCTTTCTTTCTAACCTATATATCTTTCTTTCTAACTATTCTCTTTTTTCTTTTTAACCTATATATCTTTCTTTTTAACCTATATATCTTTCTTTCTAACCTATATATCTTTCTTTCTAACCTATATATCTTTCTTTCTAACTATTCTCTCTTTCTTTCTTTTTAACCTATATATCTTTCTTTTTAACCTATATATCTTTCTTTCTAACCTATATATCTTTCTTTCTAACCTATATATCTTTCTTCCTTTCTAAATAATCTTTCTACCTAATCTTTCTTTCTACTTAATCTTTCTTTCTTTTTCTTTTTCTATTTATTATATTATATATGTATATCGTATGTATAATTACGAGAATACTTAATTGGTTGAAGTGATTACACAATATTGAGAACATATAATATTGAAAGAACAGTGTTTTTTGCTAAAAAAATCAACTTAAAATATTACAGTGTAGCTTTAAGTTTTGGTCATTTTGTTGTGTGTTTTTGTCATTTTTATTATTTTTTGATTAATTTTTATTTATTTTAGTACATCAAGTTAAACTACATTAAAATGAGAAATGGTGCATTGGCAACTAGCTGATTTAAATATATTTGGTGATAATCCAGCTTTTAATGTTGTTTATATGTGTCTATGTGGTGTTTTTAATATGCTTTAAGACAAACCATGTGTAAGTTCATAAGTCGACAGCATTGCTGAGTATTTCCTCCTTAAAACTGCAGTGAACCAAAGACAGTCTCAAAAACACGGTTTGAAATCGCTGGTGTTTCTGACGTCACAAACAACCTTGTAACCAATCAGATCAACGTGTGATCGTCAACCAGTGGATCTCTGAGCTGAGTGAGTGAATGGAGGCGGGGCTCATTTGCATATTCATAGAACCGCGGATACTAAATGAGGCGAGGGTGTCGAGTTACATTCAAGATATTTTAAGGCATGAATAATTTTTTTCCAAGAAAAAAAATGTTTAAATATTTAATTTTGGTGATCAAAGATGAGTTAAGGAATAAAATTATTGACTACAAGGGGACTTCAAACACTAATTCATTTCTTGGATTTCAAATTTCAAGTAACATTTTTTTAATGGTTTTTGTTTACTATACTAAAGTAAAACATTAGTCAGACACAAGCAAAACCAGATACAGTTTCTCTGACTGAATTTACACATCTGTAAACTATATTATTGATCAAATCCTTACGTTCAAAGATCAAATTATAAACTAACCATCTTTATTGAAACACCGTTTAGAAGCAAAGACGGGTTTTTTGAGTCTGCATTCATTATAACAGCTTGAATTTGACCAGTGACATTTAAAGTGTACATTTAAACATTCACAAGAGTGTAACAAATGAGAACAACAACAAACATAAAGATAAACTGTGTTTTGTGAGAATTGCGTGAAGAAGTCGCTGTACTCACCCAAACCCTTGGTGCTGACGTGTTTGTCTTTGAACTTGTCGTACGCGGCGTTGGGATTGACGACGATCCGCTCCACGCTGTCGCTGCACAGCTCCTCCTGTGAGACGAGTCATCAACCAATCACACGAGAAACGCATGCAGCTGATCATAAAGGAGACGCTTCTGAAGCTCTGATTGGCTGAATCTTTGAGGCAGCTAAGCCCCTCCCACAGAAGGGGCGTGGCTGATTGAAATGTTGATTTTAAGAGTGCGTGTCGCGATCACACAGGGCGTTTGTGCAGCTCAACTGATTTAATTCACTCAAACAGAAACACGTGACTCGTAGACCATCATGCATCAGTGCGTGCACAACTTATCCTCTCAAACACACACACACACACACACAATCTGACAGGAAGAGATTCAAGCCGACGGTGTTTAATAAGCTCCAGAATCATCTAAAATACTGCAGCAAACTGAAAACATCTATGCTTGACTGCAAAGCTGTTTAGTGTGTTACTAGGGTGCTTTCTATGGCTCATTCCCTTCTTTAAATGTACATTTAATTTAGTAAAAACTACTAAAAGTTGATTATGAAAGAAAACTATGAAGCTGAAACGTCTTTAAGTTGGAGAAACATGAACACACACTTCCACAGACTGATGAATGCAAGCGTACGGTGAACTCACACAGTATTGGACACTTTTCTGTTTTAATTGGCTGGGAATGTCAGAACGAAGGGCATTTTCACCATCATTTAAAGCACATATGTTGCATATAAAGACTTTTCATTTCTGGAGAGACGAGGACATGACGGAGAACCAGAGATGATGCAGGACCTTTACGAATCTCACGAACCGACTGAATAATTTTGCTTCCACATTTTACATTGTAATTTTCCTGTCAAATGTTTAACCCTTTAACTGTCACCCCCCTTTTTGAGAATCAATGTGAAAAAAAAAAATGCACTGTCCAAACTTAAATGTTTGTAATCCAAGAGTGCATTAGAATATAGACCTATGTAAAGTATGAAAAAGTTATGGAAGTTTAGATTTACTGTTAATCAAATATTAAAATATTAAGCAGCACAACTGTTTCCAGGATTGATAATAAATCATCATATTAGAGTGATTTCTGAAGGATCATGTGACACTGAAGACTGGAGTAATGATGCTGAAAATTCAGCTTTTAATATTTCACAATATTACTGTTTTTTCTGTATTTTTAATCAAATAAACGCAGGCTTGATGAGTATAAGAGACTTATTTCATAAACATTTTTTATTTTACATAAAATATATATTTTACTATAAAATTACTATAAAGTCGAAGCCATATATCTAAAAAAGTTGTGTTCCAAATTTGATTTTGATATTTTGTTCTGTACCAAAAATATCCACCAAATTCCATTGAAATATTTTTTGATGCATTTTTTGCATCAAATTAATAAATTTCTGTCCAAATATCACTTCTATCACAAAATAGCCACCAAATATGGAACCTTAAGACTCAGACCTATCCGAAGATATCTTATATCATGATAATATAGTAGTTAAAATAAATTTTTAAATATGAAACCTGACGACGCCCACTGGGGGAGGAGCCAGCTAAAAGAATTTAACGTACCATTTCCATGGTAACACAATGTCCGATTTCAAAATGGTTTTCACAGGATACATTTTTGAGTTTCTACGCTTTCAAATAATAACTAATATATGATAATTAAAACAAGTGATGGTTAAGGCGGTGACAGTTAAGGGATTAAAGAGATCTATATGCATCACAGCTAATACTAGTCTGCACTTTACACCGAGCATTAATGTGATTAATGCAATAATTAATGCAAAGGCCAAATGCGTGTGGAGTTCACAGATGCACATGCACAGATCGCGATCTAATTGGTTTAGAAGAGTCACTGGGTGTTAAAGGGGAATCAGAAACTCTTACCAGCTCCTTGGGTCCCCAAAGACAGTTAGAGCAAAAGAGAAAGAGAAAAACAGAAGAGAGTGAGGAAGAGAAAGAGAGAGAAAGATATTAATGTAGTTATCATATGACATGCACAACAGGAGCTGAAGGGAAGGGAGAACAGAGCGCTGTGTTGTGAGTATCACTGGATTGCTTGTTTATTTCATCAGTCTTGACTAGAGCTGCAGGGCTCGTTCCTACAACCGATACTGAATAACAACTGTGCATTTCTTCATCTGATCATCTTATGAACACAAAACTGCTCTCAGGTCAGTGTGTAATGTTATCTCCCCCTGCTAAGAAGAGTTTTACACAAGAGCAAATGCTGAAAGCACTCAAACACATGAGACAGTCTACGGAAACGAGCATGTCAAACATTAGTCGTGTTGATCTGGGAAGAGAGCAGATGTTAGACTCGATTCAGGAATAAGAAGGATGAGGGAATCAGTGCATCCAGATCAGAGTTACACACACACACACACACACAGAGAGAGAGAGAGAGAGGCTAAAGGAAGAAGGGCTGCACAATTCATCAAAATAAACCGTAATCGCAAATCACAAAGACTCCGATTAAAAAAATAAAAAATCAGGCTTTACTTTATTTGTGTATTTATGTACTTACCGTAGTAATAATAGTAAATTATGCATAATTACATGCAACTGACCCTCAACCAAACCCTAATCCTATAACCCTATAGTAAGTGCATGTAGTTGCTTAATATTACTCAGTACTTAAATGTACAGGTGAAACTCGAAAAATTTGAATATCGTGCAAAAGTTTAATTATTTCAGTAATTCAACTTAAAAGGTGAAACTAATATATTATATAGACTCATTACATCCAAAGTGAGATATTTGAAGCCTTTATTTGTTATAAGTTTACAGCTTATGAAAACCCCAAATTCAAAATTAGAATATTGTGAAAAGGTTTTCATAGAGTTTTTATTTGGTATAATATTAATAACACTAATTATATATTAAATTATATTTTTATAATTGGTATTTTATATTCATATTGATATATAATCAAATTGTGCAGACCTTTAAAATAAGCACAGCAAACTTTTTTAAATCACACACAAAAAAATTCTCAAAAAATTTGCAAATTCGATTTTTTTCCCTTACAAATTGTGCAGCCCTAGAAGTAATGTGTTATTTATATAACACTTTTAAAGCCGCAACGCGCTAAATGTTTTATATACAATATAAGATCATATTCTATAAGCAGGAAGTTAGCGAAACACACACACACACACACACATAACTTCTGTCAAACTGTCAAATTTACCACCATTTGTTCCTTAAAATACACTTAAACGTCACTCCACACTTTCTCAGGAAGTTAGTTTTAGTTCTAGCATTAAGTTTACAAATTTAAGTTAAAAACTCTGAATACATGAGCCATATTCTATAAGCAAAGTGATAATATTACAGGAGTAACCCAGTCATTGAGTCATCGAGATTATTCATTATAATTGAATAACTATATATAGCAGGTTACAACCTGTAACACACTTTTACCAACTCACACCTTTATCATAATGTAATAAGCCCACCGTATACACACACACACACACACACACAGGCAAACTAGTTATAAGAACCTGTTCTCAGTTAAAATAAGAGAAAATAATAAACACCCCATTTCTAATTGTGCGACTTTCCCTGATTAGAAAATAGGCGAAAGGCGGGAAGATTTCAACCCATGCATTTACTGCATTAGAGAAACATGACGTCTTACTTGCACAAACTAGCATCCGGAGCGGGTCGAACAGTGATGGTGGGTTAGTGAACGGGGAGGGAAAGTAGAGTTAGCTCTAATGTGAGTCACTGCACACAGAACAGCTCATCTCACACACACACACACACACACACAGATACTCACCGACTCAAACTGCGCCTGGTCATCCTCGGGAAGATCACTCGTCTCATAGACGTCAGGCTCGTTGGAGGCCTGTGAGGAAATTATGTCATTTTAATAATTATGTCATTGTCACTTCAGTAATATAATGTGTCAAAGGCACATCCTCGAGTGAGTGAGTGTGTGTGTGTGTGTATACACTCATAAAACTTTACTATTTTAATGTTTTTGAAAGACGTCTCTTATACTCATCAAGCCTGCATTTATTTGATCAAAAATACAGAAAAAAAACAGTAATATTGTGCAATATAATTCAAATTTTAAATAATAATTTTCTATTTTAATATTATTTTAAATATAGTTCATTTCAATGATCGAAGCTGTGATCAAAGATTTCTATTTTAAATAAAAACTGTTCTTTAACTATTTATTGATCAATAACTCCTGAAAAAAGTATCAAAGGTTATAAAAAAATATTAAGCAGCACAACTGTTGATAATAAATAACATTGATAATAAATCAGCATATTAGAGTGATTTCTGAAGGATCATGTGACACTGAAGCCTGGAGTAATGATGCTGAAAATTCAGCTTTGAATATTTCACAATATTACTGTTTTTTTCTGTTTTTTTAATTGAATAAACACAGACTTGATGAGCATAAGAGACTTTTTTCATAAGCATAAAAAATAGTATTGTTTCTAAACTTTTGACCGGTACTGTACCGTGACACACAAACTTTATATACATTTAATTTACATTTAATATGCCAAAAAAGACACAGAATGAAAATATTTATGGATGTAATTTTAAAGACTGAAGGGACGAATGTAAAAACCTGTAAATGAAAACCCATCTTAATTGAGCACCATAGACTTACAGTAATGCTAATGTAAACAACACAGACTGGCATATAAGCATAATAAAAGACTACAATAACATGACATATTAAAATATTGACATTATAATACAGCAATCTTACATCTGGCCAACGCCCTTAACATCTTAACATCTTTTTCTTACAACCTAACGTTACCTACAAAATAAAGGTGAGCAACAGCCCCTTTACACAACATATAAGCAACAGAGATTGCTGGAAAATCAATCATTTAAGCGATATTTATAAACTCTGTCTGTTATGTTTAACAAGCATCAGTCGCAAACATAACACACCTCTAAACAATCTGAAAATTCAGGAATGTCAAATAACTCCATTACTGTAAAAACATCTTGTCTGTCTTATATTTACTATTGACACTTAATGAGTCTGAAAATGTGAATTTATATATGAATGTTTCGCTCCGAATCACCTCAGAGCGTTAGCCTCGGCTAATGCTAATGCTAATGTACCGCACTGTTATTGTTGATATGGACTGAATGAATCACTTACGATGCCCGGCAGGTTGGCATACTTCGGGTCGGCCATTGCAGCGCGTTGTGTAAAAGCAGTTTAATATGAATTTATATGCGGTGTGTGTTTCTTTACTGCAGTTTGAAAGGAGAAATACACGGCCGAATGATGCGGATGACGCGCGAGCGCACACAGGACACAACGACAGCTATGATGTCACTCACTCACACAAACAAAACCTCGCGCAATCTCGCGAGGATTTAATTTCAAGCCCTTTAATTCGTTATAATTTACTTGTATACCCTGCGTTATGTATTATTTCAAAGTGTTTATGGAATTTATATTATTCTCTCTTTCTATTTATGCAACTTGTATTTATTGTGTTTGTGTTGAACAATGATAATGCCTGTTTTTTTTTGTTGTTTTTTTAATAAAGGTTAATATATCAGGGTTTATAAAGTCTTTATAAGCCATCAAGTGTATACATATACATTTCTTTGTGCTGTCTGAAAGTAGTTATTGACTCAAATAAATGTGAGTTGTCGTGTTGACAGCACAAGCCCCGCCCCCTGTCAAATAGCGACCAATCAGAGAGTCGCTGTACCACGCGCGTGTGTCTCCGTATCCTGCAGCATCACTGCACATCTGCAGCACTAATTACACTCACAAACACAACCTCGAGAGAGCGATGCACAGAAAACACTCCACTATTGTGCGTTTGGTCTGATGTTTTAACGACGGATTGTATTTGCCCAATGTTTTGATGCGCATTCTGGGCGCGCGCTTCATCAAACGGATTATTCATCCTGATTATTTCGCCTGTCGGTGAACGCTATTGCTCTCCACAGGACTGTGGGCATTAGATCTGAAGAAACAGAGACACACGGTCTGCATCTAGGCTTCAGTCCAGCATCATCACAGGATGGCTGATGATAATATCAGCGCAGAATGCAACATCAGGGTGTTGTGTCGTTTCAGACCCCTGAATCAGTCCGAAACCCACCGTGGAGACAAATACATCCCCACATTTCAAGGAGATGACACTGTTATCATCGGGGTAAGTTTATGCAAGTTCTCCTCTTCAGATTTTATAAATAGCCAGATGTTTATTGGCGCAGGTGGATCACAGTCCAGATTCATTTTCAAAGTTTCTTTTTCACACTCCTCCAGAAGATGGTGATGTTAATTTTTAATGAAATCTCACTAGTGCATACTGATGATCTGATTAATTCGGATTTGTGTCGTATGCACATATTTATGCATGTATTTATAAATATCTATACACACAATATACACACACACTCACACACACACACACACACACACACAGACAGACAGACAGACAGACAGACATACTCGCGCACGCACACACACACACACACACAGACACACTCTCTCTATCTCTCTCTCACACACACACACGCCAGCTTCACTGCTGATAAAATCCAGTGATCTCCATCTCCAAGAGCCATGATGGGAAGGCAGTCTGAAATAAAGTTAGCTGTAATTCTGACTCTTGGTTTGACAGAAAACCTGTTTGTGGGTAAGTTGCACCAATGAGGATTAAGATAACTTGTATTAAATCAAGGTTTATCTACTAATTCAGTTGCTTCAATCTACAGCCGTGTCTTGCTCAGCTTATGCAAACCTCTGGCTTTAGCTTCACGATAAACTCGTGACAGTAATCCTGTTGGACCAGAACTTTAGAGTTAACTTTAATTCTAGACCTATAGCCTAAATCAATTAAAGTGGCTCTCAACGCTAAACTCAATAATTCCCAGCAAACATTTGGACGTGTAATGACCGTTGAAAAGACGTCCGTCCGACACGTCCCGTCATGGTTGAAAAATAGTTCCAAAATGAAAGTTGAACCGACGTCTTTGACGTCATCTGGCCGTGAATTCCACGTCTCTTTTGGCCGTGAATTCCACGTCTCTTCAGCGCGTCCCTGGACGTCTAAATGCGTCGTCATTTGTGTGTTTAAATGTGTTGCTGCATAATTTAAGTGTATATAAGCCTGCATTTAAAATAATCACACACATATTGTGTAACATCGTGAAAGGCAATCAAGTCTTGAAGTTTACACATCTTGACAAAGGTTCTAAAAAGGTCCAAAATTGGTCTAGTCAGACCTGACCGTCAATAAAACGTTTTAATCACGTGTACATCACAAACAAGAACACATTATTTGTGGACATATGAAAAAAAGAAGCATGTTCTGATTTAGCACATTTTATTGATCTTGAACAGCCAAAATGTATCTTAATATTTTTTCAATGTTTAACATTTGTTAACCAAACTAAAATACCAATTACAAAATACTGAATTATTATATAAAGGGATAGTTCACCCAAAAATGAAAATTCAATGAAGAAAGGTATACAGGTTTGAAACATGAGGTTGAGTAAATGATGACAATTTTCATTTTTGGGGAAACTATCCGTTTAAAAACACATTGTTTGGCTCAGTTTTTGTATCCACCAGCTGTTCCTGGAGCGTGTTTCAGGTGTTCTGCCATTGCTGCATCAATTTCAGAGTCTGTAGCATTTGGGCTCCACCTCTTCACAGCATCTAAGGGAAGATAATATATATATATTTAAATAAATAAAATTATTATTAAATTAAAATTTGAGGTAAATGATATGCACTTATTTTCAAAATACTTGTTATGGTCTACAGCTAAATTAAAAAAAAACATGGAACAAGATGAATGAATCATGAATGACACATTAGAAAAAGGTAATCAACATGCATTACATTTTATTTTATTGTATAAAATATGTTCTGCTTTTATTTTTAAAGCAGTTACTGAAAACATACATGTTAAAATCCAGCTAAACATTTCATTCCATTTCAGATAATTTACTTTCTGAAAGAAACTCTCAAAAGGCTACATTAATAAGTTACAGTAATGACTGTAAACAATATACTTGGTATAACGTTACCGTTGTTGTATACGTTCAAAGTTACTTTTAGCCTACTGGCTAATTTTAGCCAAACTCAGTAAATTTCAGTTGACAATGTGGGCATAATTTCTTTCGGTTCATTCATGTCACACAAGTAAAACTCAAGCACGTTAATCTAATACAAAATGTACTTACCCAACAGTAGATTTTTAATAATAATATCGACACAACTCCCTCCTCTCCTCGTGGTTGTTCAAAGTTCCAGAATCTATGGGGAGAACGCGTTAACATCTCGCGAGATAATCCCATCGCATGATTTTGTAATATCGCGAGACCTTTTGTTACTACATCTTGGCAGCACAGTTTATGGTTTGGGCAGAGGGTTTGGGTAATTACATCCAACTCAGACATAAATGGTGACCGGGTATATTTCTGTTTTACATGTATATACATTCCATAAAAAAATAACAACGAATACATCAGGTACAACAGGTTAAAATAATGACTAAAATGCAGTGGCTTTGCATTTGCAATCACTTGACTATACTGTGCATTTTGTGATTATAATTTATAAAAACAAGATAAAGTAAATATATATTCATTTGTATATAAATCGTATAAAGAATTATAAATCCTGATAATTTTTTTCTGTCTTGCTAGACTAGACGTGCAAAAGACGTCAGTGGACGTTATTATTCACACACAGCCTGACTAGACGTGTAAAGGACGCCAGTGGACGTCTTCTTCACAACCTCTTAAAAACTTCATGGGCAACTACATTAATTATTGCAGTATTAACCATGCGAGGATTAAGCGCAGCTTTTGCATATTTAACAAGGATTTCATAGAGGGTCATGATGGACTATAAATGCACGTGTAAAAGACGTCGCCAGGTGACGTCCTCTCACCCGATACACTAAACATAACTACACGAGCTAAAAGTTAAAATAACAATTATACATGCAACTGTAGACATGTACAAATGTATCTGAATGCATTTTTAGGAAATGTTCTGTGTTACATTTTTTACCGATTTATGACGTCCTGGCCGCAACTATTTTTGGCCAGGGACACGACGTTGCCGTCGGACCAATGTTTGCTGGGTTACTGGTGCTAAAATGGCCACAGCAGACGAGAGTTGATGGAATACACTGAAGGTTGAAAAACAGTGAAGCTCCTCTGGGAGTGCAGTGAACGCTCTCTCACACACACGCACACACACACACACACTGATCTCCTGAACGCTCTCACACACACACACACACACACACTGATCTCCTGAACTCTGAACGCTCTCACACACACACTGATCTCCTGAACGCTCTCACACACATCTCCTGAACGCTCTCACACACATCTCCTGAACGCTCTCACACACACACACTGATCTCCTGAACGCTCTCACACACACACACTGATCTGCTGAACGCTCTCACACACACACACTGATCTGCTGAACGCTCTCACACACACACACACTGATCTCCTGGTCAGGAATATAACACTCCTAACGGCTCCCGGAGCTGCAACAGCACAAATACATCAGATTAAAGATAGTGTGTTGAAAAATAAGTGTATGTCTGAGCGTGCCAGTGGTGTGTGTGTGTGTGTGTGTGTGTGTGTGAGAGAGAGAGTGCGCAAGTGTGTTTGTATGGCGTTATTGCAATTCGCGATTGCACTGAACACGTTTTTAAGTGCAGGCATATTCTCTGAGCGAGGCAGCGAGCAGAGAGAGAATTCTTACAAGAGAAGTGTATCTGAGAGCACGTGCCCAGTTCCCGCGCGCGAGCAGAGAGATTCACGCTCGGCACATCATATTCCGCGCGCGAGCAGAGAGATTCACGCTCGGCACATCATATTCCGCGCGCGAGCAGAGAGATTCACGCTCGGCACATCATATTCCGCGCGCGAGCAGAGAGATTCACGCTCGGCACATCATATTCCGCGCGCGAGCAGAGAGATTCACGCTCGCGCATAATATTAATGTACTTTCGCGCTACAATAATGCGCTCTCGACATTGGACAGGATAATAACGCCATAGAAAACAGCGTATAAATCATACTAAGTAATGTTTTTTGAAAATGTAAAAATGCAGAAAGGTTTGTGTGATGGGCAGGTTTAGGGGTAGGGGCAGTGTAAGGGGACAGAATATACAGTTTGTACAGTATAAAAACCATTACGCCTATGTAGAGTCCCCACAAAGATGTGTGTGCCTGTTTGTGTGAAAGAGAGTGTGTGTGAGAGAGTGCAAGTGTGTTTTTGTGAGTGTTTGTTTGTGTGTGTCTGTGTGTCAGTGATGGTTCATTTTTGTTGTAAAAAAAAGTTATTAATTTAGTTCATTTATATACAGTATATATATATATATATATATATATATATATATATAGCCGCTCTGGAGAAAACCGTGATGTCATCGTCCAGCTCATTTCAGTTCTCATATAATGGTGTCAATGCAGGAGATCAATAATATTGCTGAATAGGCTCCTAATGTTGTTTTGGCGTCTCCTACAATAGTTTTACATGCATCCAATGAAAATCACGTTAATGTCCTCATAATCTCCACGGCAGCTTCAGCTTTTCTCTCAGTGTCTGAAACGCTTCGATCGAAGATTCAGTCTCTCTAAGCCCCGCCTCTCAGAGCTGCTCTGCTGTGATTGGCCAGAAAGCAAACGCTCATTATCATATCTGAATCTCAGCTCTTGATCGCAGTCAGTGGTGTAGTGCAGGGTATACGCAGGTATACGGCGTATACCCACTTCTTTTTCCGTCGGCATTGCGTATACCCACTTCTAAATCCCCTCTGATGAGCATCATTTAGTTGCTAATCCAATCTCGTGAATAAAAAAACACCCAGTCAGGGTCGTACCCATCATTAAGGTCCCCGAGGTCCTGACCTCAGTCGTTTTTTTTGAGTGTAGCCTATATATAATGAAAGTTGTGAAATAATTCCCTAATATTAGGCCTAACTCTAATTTGGTGACCGATTAATTAAAATGACCGACAGAAATAATCAGTTTGATCAAAGACAGTGGAAATTATAAGCTCAATTTAACAACACAAGCACCATATTAAATATATTGCCATTATTATTCTATATATATGTGTATAACGTTACCTTGAATGTTTTCGACTTTTCACTGTTTGTATCAC